GATTTATCGACCAAGTAGTCCTAGGAGCTATAAACGTAGCTTAACATTTGAGATTTGTTTCTCAAAAACAGTTCCCGCGATCAAGTGACCCGCGAAATGCTTCCATACATTTATCCAGGTCCGCTCTTGCTGGAAGTACCACTATCCTCCCTTGGAACGGCGATATAAAGGGGCCGCGGGCTTGTGGCCTTTGTCCTTTTCAGTCTGCAAGACAGCGACGTACACGGTGAAACGCGTGAATGCTTTCTGCTGCCTGCAGCGTCGTAGGACGATTTCATACATATGTTGGTCGGAGAGAATCTCAGCCTGTCGACTTTTTGCGAGTTCAAGCTCAGTAGTTGTTTTCTTTCTGAATCCTTTTTCATAATAAGTCGATAGCAGTCGACTTCGTAGGCGTGATACGTTTGGGCGCCACTTGAATGCAAAAGTTACGCAGTCGCATTGGTGGAAATGCTCTTCTCGCATTGCTTACCGTAGTCCTTGTTACGCGCTCAGAGTTTTTGGGAAGTTTTGTCCTCTTCTAGTGTTTTTTAAGTGTTTGATAGCATTCGGTACCGGAAGGTAATAAGGAAAGATTTGTGAGCGAGGGGTCGGTCGCGCAGAGGCCGCAGGGTGTCGAATTGCCAGCAAGTTCGAATAGCTCCACGAGGCAGGGCGAGTGTCATTTAGGAGTTTTGTTTTGGGTGTTCTCAAGGTTTTCATTGCTTCCTTTAGTGGGCAGTCACTCATCGCTACTGGTTCATACTGGAACACCTACTACTCGTGGTGCTGAATCGGTGAAATTGTCTTTATCATTTGACTACTACAAATATGCTCCTAATAGTTTTAAGTCTCAAAATGTGATGAAAATAGAGGTTGAGGATAGTTTTTTCTTGCCGATCAAATACCTTCTCTTTTTTTCTCAAATGATTCTGATTTATACGGTTTTGGTGCAATAATTACCCATGGAATGTATAATGTAGTTCGGGCGGACGGTTGGGCGTGTCAGGCGGGATGAGTTTGGCGCGGTGCCAAACCCGTTCTCCACCAGTTGTTGAAGCGAGCAAGTGATATGACTGTATCACATCGTTCGTATTACTCGTTTTACCACTTTTTGTCGCATGCGCGCTTCAACAAGAAGGCAGAGAACGGCTTTGACGGGTGACACACTCATACTGCCTGACACGCCCAACCGTCCGCAGCGAACTTAAGTATATGCAGCATTTCTGTGGTAATTTATTTATTGGACATGTCAACACAACATGTAAAGAACAACAAGAAGAAAACAAACAATAGGTAAAACAGCAATAGGTAAAACATTGATAACGTAAGGGTTTAAATATACTCACCAACATGTTTCTTGAAATGCTAATGAAATGTAATGCTATGCTAATGAAATGTAATG